CAGGGGTTTGCACACACAGATAAGATTTGATCTTGAGCAGCCTTGGGACTGAGCAGAAATCTGTTTAATCAGCTGGACTGAAGTGTTCTGCTCCAAGTTACCAGTTTTAAGAGTGTGAGTACTGCCTGGACTGGTCTTATTATTCTATTACCCACCAGAAGTGCCTAAAGATTGTCAAAATCTGTGGTATTTAAATGCTCCCGAGATTGTAGAAAGTCTCTGTCTGTCAGCCCCGCTGCCAAAGCAGAAGCCATAATTGGTCTGTGCTGGTTTCAAGGTTGTTTATTCTGTTTATCTCTAACATGTTCTGCTGCCCTGCCGCAGCTCTGTCCTGCAGGGCAGCGTGTGGGGCTCTGCCCTCAGTGGGATGGTACAAACATTAAATACCAGAAACTACCTGTGCTGGATTTACAATAACGTGCCAATATCTGTCACCTACGTTGGACAGTGTGTCCCCAGCCTGAACCAACAGAAAAATGCCAACACCACAGTGAAACATGGAGGGCATGAAGAAGGAGAAAAAGGACAAGACACACCCAATTTCCTCCATCTTGTCCCCTTTGGACCCCTAATCTAGAATCCTAAAATTTTACTTTTGCACCTGTGCCACACTTAATTATTACTGATATCAAACACTCAGAGCTGGTAATTCATCCTGTAAGATTGAAAACTCTTTTCCATGGACAGAGATCACAGACAGTGTCTCTGGGGGCTCTGTCCAGGGGGGTTCCTGACCTCTGCCAGGGTCCCAGAGCTGCCAGGGCAGCCAGAGGGAAGCCCTGGACTCCCACAAAAGATGACAGGCCCTTCATTACTGCTGCTGGCAGCATCTCCCTGAAAATACACATTTTGCTCTGTTAATAGATATTACTCTCTGTTTAACACCAGCTCCACAGAGAGGAGCATGTAAAGGCTTATATTATACAGTAGGTTTGTGCATGGCTGTGAATAATCCACAGATCAGGGGGTTATTTCAACCCCAAATTTTCAAGACTGATTTTATTGATTCTGTTCCCTATTTTAGCTGCCATTGATCCCTTTAGTTGCTAAGCCTCAGTGTACTAAATTTGGAATACCCCACAGAAAGGCAGAAAGAAGCCTCCTGTTTCTGCCCAAGGGGTTTGGGTTTCTCTTGTGCCACTTTCAGTTCAGGCTTCCACAGGTCTTGCAACTCAGGGAAACAAACATTTGATGTAAGAAATCATCGCCTCTTCACATAAGACAAAAATTACCTCCTGTGAACAAAGATCTTTCCACTTTAAAGGGTTTTAACTACTGCCAGAGAGAGAATATTGAGGTAGGTGGCCCTTGTCCTCACACAGTGGATGTTTGTATGTTCTGCAGCTAGACAGCACTTGCAAAAGTAAATAATATTATTCTATTCAAATAATACTATTCTATTCAAAACAACCATTGGTAGGTAATGCTGTTTTTCAGTGTTCTGCCCTTCAGAGAGATGCTTGTCACTTATACAGCCAAATTGCTTGAAAGCATTCTGTAAACTCTTAGAATATTATGTTAAAATACAAAAATTGGTGCTTAACAGCCAGTAGTAGACTAATTAAGGACACATAAGTATTAAAGAGTGGTGATTAATGTCAGAACTTCAAAATGTATCTGAGAATGAGCAGTTCTCAAGAATTTAAACCCTGAGCGTGCAGTGACCTTGAACACTTCCCTGAGCCTTGAGGTTCTCCCTTTAAAACTGCTTCCCAGCTTCTCTGTGTGCCTGTAATTTAAACCATTGTGAATTTCTTGAATATGACTAATCTTTACCATTCCTTACCAAAAAAAAAAAAAAAAAAAAAAAAAATCACCTAGTCCCAGCCAAGATTTCATTAATTCTAATATGAAAACATCCACACCTATCATGTCTCCCCTGAGGTCCTCAGAAAAGGAGAAAAGGAGTCTGACTTCTATTGCTGTGGCTAGAGGCTGAGGATGTGAATTCCTCTGGCTAATTGATTTTTGGATAACCTACAAACCACCAGGGGTCAGATTCTTGGACTGGTAATGTTGCCTTGGCTCAAATCCCATCGTGGGGAATCCCAGAGGAGGAGAGTGGTACCAGGTCACTCCTCACAATGCCTGCCTTTTAACAAATCTAAAATGCCACCCTCTTGGGTAAATTCCCCTCCCCAAAAAAAAAAAACAAAAAAAACCCCAAAAAACCCCTGTGATGATCTGTAGCCAGAAGGCTGCCAACACCTGTGACATGTGGGATTGTTCAGCTGGACACTGAGGAAAAGGAAAAACAGACTCTCACCCTGCCCGTGTGATGCTATCACATAAACACTCTAAAATCAGGTCAGACCTGCCTGGAGGTACAGGTGAATATCCTTAAAAGGTGCATCCTTCATCCTGAAATGATTTGCTCTGGAAATCATCACCAGATGGTGCTGCATGGAGGAGTTTGCCCCATCAGTGTAGGGAAGGAAAGGGAGGCACGTGTGGAGCTCTCCATCCGTGTTACCAGAGGTGAACATTCCTCCCTCCTCAGCAGGGCCTGTGCACGCAGGAATAGATGGAATAGATGGGGTTGCTGTCCCCAGGAAAGGCCCAGTCACTGTTTATTGCCACAAAAAATGGCAGATTTGTGGCTAGAAGTAAAGCCAAAGCGCCAGTGAGCTGCTAAGGCTGATCTGCAGAGCCCCTGAGGTTTTGCCTCCAAGCTGCAGGTGGAGGTGGGATCACTCCCACAGACCTTGCCTCCCCAGAAAAAGCTTTTGTTCAACAGGCTATGTCAGAATCAAGAAAAATCATTAATAAAAATAACTGTCAGAAGTTAGTCAGTAGCCCAAAAGAGAAAAAAAACCACCCCAAACCCCAAACCTACAGGATTTTGCAGTCTGAGAGGGAGCACAAAGTGTGGGGTTTGTGAGGGACAGGGCAGGGTGGTGTCACATGAGTGTGCCATGATGTCCCAGGCAGGAATGATGCCTTGGAGTGGAGCAGAGGCTGGACAAGACTGAGAGAATAAAGTGGGTATTTACTAAAACCCTTCAAAAGGTGCATCTTGGACACTCAGCAGCCTCCCAGAGGCTACACCCAAAATGGACAGTGGTTATGAGTTTTCCACACAATTTAAAGTTTGGTCCATTTACATTTCAGGGGTTAATCCTCCAATTCCAGCTCCAGGTAATGAAGTAATTAACCCCCAGTTTGCTCCCCCCAGTTCACTTTTGTTTATACTTTTGGGACCTGAGGCTGTAGGGTGTCCTTGAGTTTCAGGCCCAGAGGGATTGTTCTGTCTGACCAAAAACGTGAAGACAGCAACTAACACTCTATTTGGAATATAGAGTTATACCCTAAAGCGGAACAGGATTGGAAAAATATAAAAGCTAAAACCCTAAGGCATCAGAAGGAGCACCCAGCTGCCCAGGAGTGACCCTCCCTGAGCTCAGGCTCAGGCTGATGTGCTCTAGAGGGAGCCACATCTGTCCTTGCTGTCCCAGATGGAGGTCACCAGCCTCCCAGGCTTTCCAGGAAAGAGGGAGTGGCCGAGGCTTGGTTTACTGAGCCTGGACCACCTAGGAAAGAGAGTGCAGCCAGCACTTGTCCTACCTCTAGGCACTCCACAGGAAGGATTGAGGGATGCTGAATTTTTGGTTTTGAGCTCCCACCCAAGTTGGCTGTGAAGAAATGGAAGGGCAGGCAAGTAAAACGTGCATGTTCTGATATGGAAAAATGGCAATAGGATTTCTGCATTTCAGTCTGCAGCAGAGGTTGGGTCAGCTTACAGCATTTAGATCTGGACTTGAAGCACTTCAGGGTTTGTGTCTGTCTGGGGGTAAGGGAGCTGCTTTCAAAACTCACACCTAGACCCTGGTCTTGACTGAGTACTCTGCAAGTTTTATCTGTCTCTTGCTTTATTAGAGAAAAAAAAAAAAAATGGAGGAAAGGATTATCTCTGTGCATTTGAGAAAAAAAAAAAAATATAATAATGACACCACTATTTGATGATGGGGGGGGTGGGGGGAAATCCTACTCTCTTTAAAGACAAAGTTGGGAAATAGCTGCCTTTTATTTCAAGGAATCAGATTCACAAAAACTACAGCCATAAAACACAACAGCAGCCCAAACCCTCCACATAAAGCCTCCTGTATTTTATGCCTCCTTTTCTATTTCAGGTCCTCATTTGCCTAATTACTTCTCAGAGGCTGGCAGAGATTTTTCCCTGCAGCGCTGAGCTCTGCTGACTGCAGAGACCCTACCTGGCACACTCAGTGAGTGCGTCAGCATTCTAGGTGGAAATGAATGAAAAATCAATCAGGGCAACTGCAGTGGTAGCATATTCAACTCTAACCTACTTTGTGCATGGTTTCAAACATTTCATTGTGTGTTCAGGCTTTTTTTTTTTTTTTTTTTTTAATGGTGAGTGGGTCTGAAGTCAAATTGATCTTCCTTACTCAGCCTAATAAGTGTTTTGTCATCTTCACTGTTTAGCTCGAGCACATTTGCCACCCTGACTGCTAAGTTAGGCTGCAGACTTGATTGAAATGCCAAAACCTACAAGAAGATTGTTTTAATCTTGAAAACCTATCACCAGCAGATTGCATCATGGAGTGGATGGAGATACAGTGGTAGAGCTTTCATTGTTTTAATCGTATTTGCAGACTAGATCTAGAGTAGGTCTGGAAAATCAAAAGTACACCAGAACCTCTTTTGAAGCACAGGTGCTGCTTACGTGTGGTCTTGCAAAGAGTTTGGCTTAGAATTATTTGTCTCTGCACTTTTTTTTTTCCCCTTGTTGCATTCCTGCATAGGCAGAGTTAAATATGGATCACCAGTTTCACTTAGCTAAAGTTCACAATAGAATGGTCCAAAATTCATGCCTAACAAATTAAAAGCTGTTGTAACTTCTGCCGGCTGAGTGGGTTCAATGCATTAAAAAAAAAACAAAAAACTTGTAATATCACTGCTCTCACAAGCTGTGCAGTGCAACACTGCAAAAGGTTTCCAAAAATTCACAATCCTCTTCATATGTGATGCCCTTACAGTGAAGAAGACTCTATTTGCTGTAAAGATGAAGACTCTACTTCTTCTGGTGCTGATCTCTGCCTGTGGGGCTGAACCTCACCCTGGCAACTCAAGTCTGGAGCATGAAAGAATTATTCACATTCAAGGTAAGGAAATAAGTGAGAAAATACCAATATCTTCATATTGCTGAGGGAAACAGAATAATGTGCCTAATGATCCTTAATTTACTTTTTTTTTAATGCTGTCACTCTGTTTTTAAATACTTGCATTACTAGTGACTGAATGTTTTATTTTCTGGTTCTGTTTACTTATTATTTCCCCTAAGAAAAATCAAAAAAAAGAAAGTTGCACTGTTTAATAGCACTTAGTCACAACCTTGCAAAGGTTAGTGAGTAAAGTACAGCATGATTTAAGACAAAGAGAAAAAGCATGCATCCTAAAGTAATAAACTGCAGTGGGTTAAAATACTTCAGTTTATTGTAGAATAGATTTGATTTTAAGAGGTCTGCCATACACAGTTCTCCAGAGCACAGATATTTATTGCTGTGGTTTATTTAAAAAGGCTCAGCGCATCAGAGATCATAACTGGGCAAACTAAACCAGTTAAAAAAAAAATAAATAAATTAACTTACCCTGAAAGAAATATGCCTTTCCTGATACCTTTAGTTCACACTAAATATTATCCTGGCCTCCTGCAGAATCCTGTTTGGTTCATGTTTGAGTCCCAGAGATTATAGCTGTGGCAGGATTTGAGCCTGCAGCACAATGCAGCTCTTTTTTCAGTCCCATCTTCAGTCGTTGAGGGTTATCCTGCACAAGAAGAATCAGGGGGTTTATGCAGTGAGGACAGACAGAATGAACAGGGATTTTCCTGCCTTCACCCCTACCTTCCTTGAGCCTGGCTAAAATTAATTTTGCAAAGTTAAGAAATGCAGGATTACTGTACTGCCCCTCCTCTCTCTGTCTCTCTCTCACTCCCCCTCTCTCTTTTTAAAGTTTGATTTATTTCTTTCAACAGCCAGAAAAATTTGTGCTGTTTGTGTAAATATGAATTACCAAGCTAGAGCAGGGTATGAGGAAGGGCTGGACATTCAGGAGTTCACAGGAAAGTCACAGAAGTTAAAGGCACCCTGTACCTATTATTAAAACAGGGATTGTCAAGGTCAGGCAAGGAGTAAGAGACAGCTGCTCTCCCTCTGAGGAGACTCAGGATGAAGGTCAAGTGAAGGTGTGATGTCAAAATTAAGATCTGTCACTGCTCTGAGATGATGAGCACTTTTATCCCAGGGCAAATTTCAAATCAGACATTGATGTCTAATAAATATATATTTTGCCTTTCCTTGTATGACGCAGTATTTTGTCTCTGAGCTTGACTTTTTTTTTTGTAAAATTAAATTAGTGTGATAGCACTTCAGTGTAATTCAGGAGTCATACATGTCATTGTTACTAACCCAAACAGTTCAAAGCTAACAGAAGTTTCAAGGTGACAAGGTGAACCCTTCTCCCTCCCCGTGAAAACTCACCTGTACCTCCAGAGTTTATTCCTTGAAGATAAACTGGATAAAGATTTAAATTTGAGCTCCACCACAAGTCCTCTGGGTGGTTCAGGCTCTGAAATGCACAGGGAGACCCCAAATCAAAGAGACTGAAACTGCTGAGGCATTTTTGCTTCTGATTTTTGCCATTCCTCTCTGCTTTGTGGAATCCCACCAGGGCTGGGATCCCTCTCTCCCAGTGCTGCAATTAATAAAGAAACAAACAAACAAACAAACAAAAAAAGAAGATAAAAAATCTATACCTGGAAATGGGATGGAGATTAGGGAACACTGTAGAAGATGTTCAGGTGTTTTTTTTAATCACATTAACAAATCCAGCATCCCCCTCCACAGCTGAAATCCAGGAGATGTGTGGCTAAACTCTGCCAGGGCTGTATGCCTGGGAATACTTTGGGATTACAAAAGGTGTGAAAGGGATTTCCTGAGGCAGGGAAGGAAAGTGTGTTATATTCCTCATTCTTTACATCACGTAATCTCCTGTAGGCTGAGTTTTATTTGTTGAAAAGCTGAGTTTCAGGTCTTACTGCAAAAGGGTTCTGTACCCTACTTTTCTGACATGGAAAACACCTTCCTAATCCTCCACGGTTATTTTATGGCCTAATTCTTCTCATGCTGCTGTTCTTTGGCTTCCAATAATATTTTTTCTTCTTTGAGGCTTTAATACACCAGTAAGATAACACCATAACCCCACAGCTACCATTTGATTGTGTGTCTTCAAATTATTCTCTAAGTGTATCACCTCCTGATTACTGTCCTAGTTGGATATTGTAACCTCTTAATGTCAGAAATTCACCTTTACACTCGTTCTCATCTGAACTCTTACTCCTTGAGTGCATCCATCCAGGATTTTGTTCCAGATAAAATCCTCATTTGGCCTCAGTATTTCTGTTTTCAATTTCCATGCTTTGTTCTTCAGACCCTGGATCAAATTTGCTGTTCCCATTTGTGCTGCAGTGCTGATCCATAGTCGGTGGTGGTAGACAGTATTTAGCAGTCAGTCTCCCTCACTGCCACTCAAAATTAACAACTACAAGCTCTATATCAGTAATTCTTCACACTAGACCTCAAAAAGCTGGGTTTTGCATTCAGCATTAAATGTTTTCTAATTTTTCCACCCTTCTTTCTTCAAGTGCTTTAAATACCCACTCTCCTCCTTTCAGTGCTGCTTAACAAGCCATGTGACAATTGTATTTATCCAAAAGTCACAATTACTTTATAAGGTAAAATTAGTGGAAATATTACAGAAATTGTACTGCAGACAGTTCACTGGCCTTTTTAATATATTTTTTCCGTATCATTAAATTCCCTAAGCTCTAAGCAAATGATGCATCACATTCCTCAGCCTTACACATTTGTTTTTTGTTACGTACCTGATATCAGACTACTCTGACTTTCTTTGTCAAATATCTGGTTAATCTTATACCTCTTTCTAGTACTGACTCTATTCCTGTTGTTCAACAATTTTCCTTGAAAATTTGTTCTAAAGTCCTGTTTGCTGCTGAGATCAGACTGATTGACTGGATAATGATTGAATTTCTTTATTTACATGTATTTGTTATTTTGCTGCTGTCCAGAAACACCTGGTGCTGTCTTAAAGTGACAGGTGAGGCCACAGCAGTGCCAGTAGGTCTGGGTACCCAAATTTTCTGCCCCTCCATCAGTGTAAAATCTCCTGACACCCCCCTAAAACTCAATATTTGTCAACCAGAACAAACAGTATTTCATAAATTGTTATTGCTCTGCAATTATACTTTGCTTTCATGGACACAGAGCTCTGCCTGTCAAATGTCCACTCTCTGGAAAAGAGAGTTTTCTTTATTTTTACTGAACACTTTCCCAGCTTCTAACACTGCAGTAGACAAAGTTCTATGTCTATGTTCTCTTTTAAATATTTCAATTTTTCTCTAAAAATGATTTGTTGGTTTCAGTGTCAGTTCTAGCTCCTGGTTCTCTCCTTTTTGGTTAATACAGTTAATTTGGACTTGAACAAAATTTCTCATCTGCAAGACAGTTTTACCTCCCTACTTTTCACAGTCTTTTCAGCTTATTTCCTCTGTCCCAATTGCTTTTTTTATATATATATTTTTTTTCTTCTTTGGTTTCATTCCACTATTGATGCACAAAATTTATACATTTATAAAATGTGTATGTAAAGCTGCATTTTATGTCTTCTGTGGCTTTGTTTTCTTTGCTGAAATCTGTGTTGGATTTCATGGTTTTGGTCAGTCTGATATTTTATCCAGGCTGCTTGACCCTATCCCCTTCCTCTCATAGTTTGTCATTCCAGTCTCACTTTTGGGGATAAAAAAAAAAAAACAAAAAACCCCAGAAATCCTACACCTCAGAAAAACCCCATGATTTTCTCAGGGAGACAACCAGTTTCACTCTTCAGAAAAAGCCACAACCATAAGCAGAATATAATCACCAGAAATAATTATATTCATATTCATTCATTTTGCTATGTTTGAGGTGCAAACATTTACCCATTTGCCTACCAAGACCTCTGCACAGATTTATTTATGCATACCCAAAAAATATTTCAACATTAAATGAACAGCAAAGCTTTTAATGCTGCCCAATTGGAGCAAACAAACAAACAAACAAACAATTAAAAAAAAAAAAACAAAGCACACACAAATTAGTTAAATCAATTAACCAATAAAGAAAGCAGAGGAAATCTTTGACCAACTTATTCTCCAGTATAATGAGTTTTATTTACAGTCCACTTCTTTTTCTCCAAATCAAGTCAGCACCAACAGAGAGTAAGAATCTGAACAGAGTTTCTGGACCAACAAAAACATGATAAAAGATAAATTGATGGGAAAACATGATAAAAGATAAACACACTGCTCATATGCCCTCTGACACCAATTTTATCTGCTCAAGATAGTCTTGGTTACCTTCATGCTTTTCCACTTTACTTTGGACTTCTTTCCTTTTTTCCACCTTTCTGCATTTTTCCATTTTCCATTACACTGACATTTCTTTCCACATCTTCACCTTTATGTTTTCTGCTTTATGTCTGGATTTCTTTTTCCTTGCCATTTTGTTTTGCTATTCAGGACAATTTTGATGATGCCACAATATGTTTTTCTGTCTCTTGTTGCAATTGAGCTTTTTTCTTTGATTTCCACAAAGCCTGCTTCCCTCCTCAGATCATGGCCTGTTGCAACAGCAGGGGTTAGAAAAGTTAGCAGAGAGCAGAAATTCCACACCAAAAAAAAAAAAAAAACCCACCCAAAAAACCCAAATACAAAGAAAAACAAAAATTAAAACAAAAATGTGCTCTCCTTGAAGGCATCCTGGACTGCGTCTTCTGGAGCAGACCTTAACTGATGGGTGCCAGGATATCTGGGTTATTAAAAAAAATATTATTACAGAAACAGAAGGGTGGAACACGAATGTAAATTGTTAATTTGCCTTTGTTGGTTACGTCAGTGGAATTCCATATTTATAAATAGCATTTAGTGGTGATTAAGGGACTGGAAGGGCTCCATGCAGTTTCTGTGTAATATTTTGGTTTTGTCAAACAGCCCTCATGCCACCCATGAAGATTTATTTCTGTGAGGAAGGAGTGCAGAGACTTTGCC